AGTGTCGCTCCGCTAGGCCTCAGCCTTCCTTCCAGACCTATGTACTATTCAGATTCTCGGGTGGGTGAGACCATTACGAGGGAGGTGGAGGAGCTCCAGTCAGGGGGGTTAGTAAAGGAAAGATGAAATCAGGTTTTTGGGGGTTCATCTCTTTTAGAAGCCTTTGTTGCATTTTTTTGGGGGGGCTGCCTTAAAGTGTCACTCCAGCCAAAACCTATTTGAAGGATTATAATATCCCCTATCAGGCTCTTTTTGCTGTTATGAGGCCACAACGGGGAGATTTCACCTTACTACCTGTTATGATGACAACCTTTTTACCAGACAGGAAGTAAGGGATTCTGCTGTGTCACTGTTTTGCTCCTGCTACTTGTGCTGGTGACATGGGAGGGGGATCTCCCTGAAGGGGTCTCGGGTCACAGTAATAACCTGACAGGCATTCCTCTCCCACGTCACTCTATCCAAAGTCCCCCTGGAGATGCACTTTAAGGACTTTCAGTGCTTCCTGTAATAGATATGCGCCATGACGCGCACCATCGGTTGTCACCGTGATTTGGTCTTCTAACCGTTTTTTTTTTGCATTTTCCAGCAGGTGGAATCTGCGTAGGACGCCGAGGAGGAGGGCAGGGGAGCTGCAGACTCGGTTGGCAGCTCCAACGGCTCCGCCTCCTGCCATGATATCAGCCGCCCCGCTCTACAGCGGAGTGCCCAACTGGACCAGTGCCGACCGCGTGCGCATGTGCGGCATCAACGAGGACAGGTGAGACGCGCTTCACTCTATAATGTTACACTGATCTACATTTCTGTCATTGTCCCTCCCCTGCCCTCTGTGGTCTTCCCTCTCCAGGCCCTGCACCGGCGTGCACCGCACAGGGACCCCCGCTCCTCCCTCTCGGGCACCGCACAGGGACCCCCGCTCCTCCCTCTCGGGCACCGCACAGGGACCCCCGCTCCTCCCTCTCGGGCACCGCACAGGGTCCCCCGCGCCTCCCTCTCGGGCACCGCACAGGGTCCCCCGCGCCTCCCTCTCGGGCACCGCACAGGGTCCCCCGCGCCTCCCTCTCGG